TCTCCATCTAATGCTGTGGGGTTTCCTCCCCTCCCCTTCTGGGGGCAGGAAGAAGCAGAGCAGCAGCAACCAGCAGCAGCAGCAGCAGCAGCAGCAGGAGCAGCAGCAGCAACACCAGCGGAGGGGCCCCCAGAGGGGGCCCCCGGGGGGGCCCCCAGGGGGCCCCTCAGCTTCGATGATGTGCTGCGGTTTGCTGTACCCTTTGTGAAGGGGGGAGAGGAGACACAGGAGCCGAGCAGCAGCAGCAGCAGCGCAGCAGCAGCAGCAACAGCAGCAGCAGCAGCAGCAGCAGAAGCTGATACAGCAGCAGCAGGAGCAGCAGTTCCTTCTGGTCTTGCGGGTATGGCCTCTATAACATCTCCCAGCAGCAGCAGCAACAGCAGCAGCAGCAGCAGCTGCAGCAGCAGCTCTGACGGTGGTTCTTCTCCCGCAGCAGCAGCAGCAGCAGCAGCAGCAGCAGCAGCAGCAGCAGCAGGAGGAGATGGTGATGACTCAGCCTTCAGCACAATGAATTTATTATTTTTATCTTCTTGTTTATTATTTTGTTTTATTGTTGGGTACTTTATAAACACACAAAAAATAAAACATTTGCCTCTATCTGCAGCTTCTATGTTGGTTGGGGCTGTCTTTGGTTTATTTATTCGGGTGTATGTACACCTCATGCATGCACACAAACACCACCCCCTAGCAATACCCTTTCTTCATCATTTTGGGGGCCCCCCCGCGCATGTGGGGGCCCCCCCGGGGGCCCCAGACATTACCGGGGTGGTGGAGGGTGGGGGGCCCCCAGAGGGTACAGCAGCAGCAGCAGCAGCGGGAGGGGGGCCCAGCAGCAGCAGCAGCAGCAGCAGCAGCAACCTGGCGGGTTTATACTTTGATCCTCATTTTTTTTATTTAGTTCTTCTTCCTCCTATTGTGCTGGATGCTGGTCTGAGTATAGATAAATATAATATAATAAATAATATATTAATTATATTATTTTTTTCTGTTGGGGGGACAGTGATTACTACTCTTGTATTTTATTTTAGTTTATTTTATATAAACTCTTTTTTTTTTTTAGGGTTTAGGGGGCCCCCCCACCGCGTCGATGCCTTCATTTGGGTTTTCTCTGCGCTTATTGCTGCTACAGACACCGTTGCTGTTTTGTCTTTATTTACTTCTCCTCGTTTTTATTCTAAGACAAAAACTAACTTGCTGCTGCAGCAGCAGCAGCAGCAGCAGCAGCAGCAGCAGATGCTGCTGCAGCAGCAGCAGCAGCAGCAGCAGCAGCAGCAGCAGCAGATGCTGCTGCAGCAGCAGCAGCAACAGCAGCAAGATACACAAAGATATGCCACACACTATCTCATCAAACACAAACCACAAATACTCTATGCATCTCCTGCTGCTGCTGCTGCTGCTGCTGCTGCTCCTGCTGCTGCTCCTGCTGCTGCTGCAGCAGGAGCAGCAAATAACAATAGTAACAAACAA